TTGGTACTTCCACCACTCCTGGCCTGTCGTGGCGTTCCCGCCAGGTGCCAGTACGCGCGGGGATCTCAGACCCCCCCACCAGTGCCCTTCCCCCACGTCCTCCGAGCGCTCCCCGTGCACCGAACCCCCGCTGAGTCCGCCCCCCGCCTGTTGGCGCTCTCGTCCCCCCGCCCATCGCACCACGTCCCGCTGGTAACCACGGTGTCCGGCCTCCCCGGGGCGGTCCCCAGGTTATTGCCGTTCGTCGTGTCGCGCGGCGGGTGTTGTTCGCGACGGCGTTCGTTGTGTTGGGCGCCACAGCGTGCGCTGTCGTCGCTGGTGTCGCGCTGGGTGCAGGAGCACCCCGGGTGATTCCTGGCTGGCGGCTTCCAGGATCGGCCACCTTGCGCACCTCCTGCAGGTTCGACGATGACGACCGATGCGCTCGCTCTGATGGCGATTGCCCTTGCAGAAGCCAGCCCAGGAGGGGTCCCGGGGAGCCAGGTCCCAGCCCTGCTCCGGGCCGTCTCGGCGCTGGCTGGGCCCGCAGCCTTGTCTTCGACCTCGAACGTGCAGCGCCGGAAGAAGCGCCGCTTGCGGGTCCCGGAGCCTCTCCCTCCGCCTGGCCGTGCTCCTGCCTGCTTACGGCCACGACAGCAGCAGGCGTTCCGGCGCAAGCCGCGGCAGTCGTCGCGCCTTCCTCCGCCAGGGCGTCGCCGTGTTCCCCAATCGCCGCGGACACCGCCGCCGCCAGTGCCGCCGCCGTTACCGGCGCAGGCGACGCAGACAACGCCACCTCAGCGGATTGCTCAGGGGCCGCGCCCGGCCTCATCTCCTCAGCCTCTGCCTGTGCAGCCCGAGGGGTGGCAGCGGGTGAAGCTGAGCCGCCGTCAACGGCAGCGGCAGAACCGCCGGCAGGCGCAGGGTCTGCCGCGGTCCCCACTACAGGCCCGTCAGCATCAGCCACCACAGCCACCACAGCCATCTCTCTCTCTCTCTCTCTCTCTCTCTCTCTCTCTCTCTCTCTCTCTCTCTCTCTCTCTCTCTCTCTCTCTCTCTCTCTCTCTCTCTCTCCTTTGTTCTTCTCTCGGTCCTTGCTTTGTCTTGCACTCCTGGCCAATTCCTCCTCCGTGGCTGCCTTCCTCAAGAGGGGGCTGATGTTTTATTTGTTGTGCCATTTGTCTTCTCGTTTCGTGTTGGCTCCCTTTCTCTCTCTCCATTGTTCGTTTTTTTTTTTTTTTTTTTTTTCAATAACAACAATCTTTTATTAATCCACACAAGGGCATACAAGCCAAGCCTACACCATAACCAGCCCCTACGGCTGCCATCTTGCCCTGGCCCCCATGGCCTATCCTACTCCCCAAGGCTCCTAACCAGCCTACGCACAACCGGTGCATCCACCTACGCCCCCCGGCATAGTGGCAAGGGGCGCCGCCCCATGGGTCCTCTCACACCACGGGTGCGGGACCTTGTGCGCCACGCCCTCCCATAGGGCAATTATTTGCCATATGGTCGGGCTGGCTGCAACGGAAACACACCCCCTTGAAGCGGGGCTCGTGGCAGCCCGCGGGTGGCATGCCTTTGCTTTCCGGTTCACCGTCTCGAGGGGGAAGGCGGCCTCCGCGGGCGAAGCCGGTACGTGCACGCTTGAGGGCCGCCACGTCGGCTACCGCGAGCTTGTAAGAGCGGGATGAGAGCACGCTCTCGGCTTGGTACAGCTGGAACCGATCCGCCGCTTCGAAACCGGCCTCATCCGCCACCAAGAGCACCTCGAAGCGTTTGTTGATCAACGTGTCGATTTGCTCCACGTTGGAGAGCGCGCCCTCGACGTCGCCGTTTTGGAGCTTGAACTCGACGTGCCTCAGGTGAGCTTGAATTGCAGAGAACACCTCCGCCTGGTCACGCACTCCCTTGCGCATGAAGGTAGTAGCTGCAGGTGAAGGGTTGAGGGGGGGAAGGGGAGGTGCGGGTGCGAGAATGCGACGACGGGCAAGGTTGTCGGGGGCCTCACCGTCTTCATTTTCTGAGTCGTCGCTGTCATCGGGGATACGGGCTTGGGTTGGTGCCGGAGCTGGGGCGGGAGCAAGAGCAGCGTTGTTGGTGCGAGCGATTTTGGAGGAGCGGGGAGCCGCGACAGGTTCCTTCTGCTTTTCGATTTTAGCTGACGCAGAAATTTCTTCAGCTGATGTAGCTGCAGACGACGGTGCGCGCTGCTGCAATAACGAGAGCAGCGCCTGTAGTTGTTGCGCGGTCAAAGGGGTGGGGGCGGCGTTGACCGGGGTGACGTCAGCGGAGGGTGCCGCGCGCTGGCGTTTCTGGGTCGTGGGCCCGGATGGACCCGCGTCAGCGCCGGTCAAGACGACCGCCGCGTCAGCGGCGGTCGTCGTCTTCTGCGCAGCACGCGCGTGCCTGCCAGGCACGCGCTCTTCAGCAGCAGCCACGCGCGACTGTACAACAGTCGCGCGTTCCTCAGGGGGGGTCCGAAGGGCGCCTCCGAGCAGGAGGTCGACCGCCGAGGGTCCCTCGCTTGAAATTTCCTCGGCGGGACGTTTTTCCGCCGCGACGATCCGTTGTCACGGCCGGAGTCGAGGTTTCCGCCGCGTTACCGGGGCTAGAATTATTCGAATTGTCGCGGTTAAGTGCCGGGTTGACCGGAGCCATCGTTGCGAGGTTGCGCTTAAGGATGTCGTTAAGGAGCGTTGACGGGGCAGTGAAACGCGGAAGCGACTGAGTCTTCGCCGGTGTGGACGAGAACGAAATTAGAACTACAATTTTGAAAATGAAAACGTGGGTGGGGACGAATGTCCCCACGTCCCTCTTTTGTAGGCAAAAGAGGGTGAGTAGCGCTTCGGCGCTACCTTTGCTGTGTTGGCCACGTACCCCTTTTCACAATACAAAATTTTAGAAAGTGTTACATTTCATTATGTCAGAATGTCATATTTGTTATCTAGCCTGCAGTGGGGTACTCTATAGTGAGTATAACCCCTTAGGGTTTCATATTTGTACCTCATTGCTTGCTAGTACAACGCCTCTCTTTTGCCTAACTTCTTCTTGCATAGCTAGGTAAGTCCTAGCTATGGCTACTATCGTTACCTACCTATTTTCACATGGTATCAGAGCAGTACGCTCCTGGCCTGTGTGTCTAACCACGTTCCTTCCGCTGCAACTACTACTTTCCCTTACCGCCGTGCGCCCCGAGGCGCGCGACGGTTTTCTACTTTAGGGTTTGGGGGTGAGGGGTATGGGGGTGACCCTCCTCAGTACCACTCCATGCTCCTCCTCCTCCTCCGTCTCCTTGTGCTGCAGCTGCCGCTGAGGGGGGGGTGATTGTGGTGGAGCCGGTGGAGTGATACTAAGGGGGGGGGAAGGGGAGGAGAGCTAGCGGTGTAGCAGTGGGTGTGTGCCAAGGGGAGTAGGACAGTCTAGGGAAGCTGAATGGAGGATGCCGATGTTTCGCTAGTTACTCCTGTAGTCCGGGGGCTTCGTCCGGTAGCCGCTGTGCCAGTCTGCCTCCTGTTGCCCGTGTGTCTGCAGCTTCATCCGTCGCCTCCTATCTCCTCTCCTCTCAGTCTCTCTCCTCCTCCTCACTTGCCCGTTGTGACTACCTCTAGCTTTGCTTATAACTGTGAACTTTATACTACTGCTGCTTGAACTTGTGCTCAGACTGTGTGGTGACATTGTGATCCACCCTGAGCTTGTTCTGTTTTGCTTGCTCTGCTGATTACACCCCACTTTGGCTATGGGGGTGTGTCAGAATGTCATATTTGTTATCTAGCCTGCAGTGGGGTACTCTATAGTGAGTATAACCCCTTAGGGTTTCATATTTGTACCTCATTGCTTGCTAGTACAACGCCTCTCTTTTGCTCAACTTCTTCTTGCCTAGCTAGGTAAGTCCTAGCTATGGCTACTATCGTTACCTACCTATTTTCACACATTACACTTTAAAAATTTATCATTTTTATTATTGCCCCCCATGGGGGTATATCCGGGGTATGACGGTAGAAGATTAGTGCGCCCTTAACCCCGAAGCTGGTTAGCCTAAACCTTTTCCCTAGAATCAATGGGGCATCACCAATGCTGATTTTCTTACACCCCCCTTTTCCACAAGAATGCGTTACGACACTGCACAGCGCCAACGCCAACGTGTGCACACATGGGGATTCGAATTCGAGATCATCGATTTGATACCATACAAAAATATCAGCCACTAGACTACTTGGATAAAAAGGCTCGTTAAGTAGCGGGTTAGTGCGCTCATAACCTAGCGTCTTGTACCAGATATCAGCCACACGGGAGGGAAGCCAGGCGCAGCCGGTGCTCCTGCAGAAATGATTGCGCGCCACGCCAGCCATCTCCTCATCGTGGAGTTGTTCTTCGAAAATTTCAAAACGCAACTCAGGGAGGGGGGTCACATGAAAGCCAGGCGCAACTGGTGCTCCTGCAGCGAATGCTTTTGCGCCATGTCAGCCATCTCTGCGTCGTGCCGCACCTTCATGCGCCTCCACCGCCGCTGCAGCTCCGCTGCTTCGGACTGCCATGGCACGAGCGCCAGATGAGGCGGCACCGCGCTTCTCCCACTCAGTCGAGGAGAGGAGGGTCGAGAACGAGATGGTCGAGGAGAGGAGGGTCGGGGCAGGGAATTGGATCGTGAGAAATGAGGAGCGACAGCAGAATGAGGTGGCATTGGTGCGATGGCTCCTTTGGTGCCTTGAGACGGAAGTGATCGCGTGTTTCCAGGTGCTGTTGGGGGGTGTGGTGGTGGTGGTGGCGTCGACACAGATACGCTTGATGTCACGGGCTCAGGAGTGGCCCAGTCACGGAACGACACAGAACAGGCCCCCTGGTGCGGTTGGGGTGGGAATTGAAGATACAGGCGGGGGCAAGTGATGGAGAAGTAGTAGAGGAGAAGAATGGGTGGAGGAGGCACCCACGGGAGAAGATGGTTGAGATGCAGGGATGGAGAGGGATAGAAAAATCGAGCACGAATCCTTGAAAAGTATGAAGGTGCGAAGTGAACGGACTTAGGACACGAGAAAACCGGGTGAGGGACACCTGAAGAGTGTTGTGGGGGTGCAGTGGGGGTTGGTGTGTGTGTGGCGTGGAGGGGGAAGAGAAGGAGGGGGAATCACCATCGGAGCAGCAGCAGAAGAAGCAACTGTTTCGGCACGGGAACTTATGCCCTCAGCATGAGCTTGCTGCTGCTGCTGCTGTGGTGGCGGCTGCGATGGAACGAGGTATCGCTTGAGGTCTGCAGCTGGTTGCCCTTGCAACAGCCACGCTCTCCAGGGCCTGCGGAAAAGTAATGTAAGCAGCAGATGGGGGATGGGGACCACAACATGCAATGCAGCAAACCGGAACAGTGATGGGAAATTTGTGCGTGGAGGCCTGCTTTTTCGGCGCACAAACAACAAACGCCCCCTGTTTATCCTGAGGTGCCTCGCAAGCGTTCTCACTGTTGACCTGCACGTGGCGCGGGGCATGACAGCGGCGTCGTGCAAGAGGAAGCGCTCCACACTGGCAGCCTGATTTTGCAGTGCACACACACAGCAGGCTCTGCTGTTGAGGCGCACACACAACAACCTGTGCTGTTGAGGCACTTACGGTACTTTCTCACCACACACCTGCGGGTGGCAGAGGGCATGACAGCGGCATCATGCGAGAGGAAGCGCTCCACACTGGCCGCTTCATCACGCGAGCGGAAGAGCAGAGCCGCCCATGCGGCTCCAGGGGGGTCGCGCAGAGGGTGCCGGGGGAAGAATGCGGCTCCCAGCACTGGAAACACCGTGAGCGCCTGCACGGTGTGGACACGGGTGTGGGTGTGAGTGTGGGTATGGGCGTGGGCATGATTTGGGGGTGGGCATGGGCATGGACATGCGAATGGGTGAAACTGGAAGAACCTCACAGTTGGAGAGGGTAAGGGAGGTTAGGAAGACAAACAATGGCGTCAGGGTGGAGGGGGGGCGAAGGAAAGAACTTGGGAGGGAAATGAAGAGCGGAGAGAGATAAGGTCGCGGAGAGGGAGGACAGAGGAGAGTGAGATGGGTTCTGGTAGATTTGGTTGGAAGGAGGGGTCGATCTAACGAAAGAAAGAAAGAAAGAAAGAAAGAAAGAAAGAAAGAAAGAAAGAAAGAAAGAAAGAAAGAAAGAAAGAAAGAAAGAAAGAAAGAAAGAAAGAAAGAAAGAAAGGAAGGAAGGAAAAGAGATGTGCAGCACACGTGACCAAAGGTCTGTGCAAGCAAACAAGGACATGCAGCCAGCGAATTGGAATCACCTGCACCACATCTCGCACGTCTTGAGCAACGGTATCGTCCTCTAGGTTCTCAATGACCACCACCGCCGTGGCATCATCCGTGGCACATGCGCTGGGCATGACAGGTGCAACGGCATGGCTCACAGGTGCAGCCGCAGCAGCCGCAGCAGCAGAAGCAGCAGCAGCAGCAGCAGCAGAAGCAGCAGCAGCAGGCGGAGCAGGCGGAGCAGGAGGAGGTGTGTATTGAGGAACAAACAGAGCAGCAACAGGAGGGGAGTGCAGACCAAACAGTGGAATATCCACTTCCATACCATGACCATCAGCATCAGCATCAGCATCATTACCATGTCCATGTCTTGACAGCCCCATCTCTCCTTCCCTCTCCTCTCCCTCCTCCATCTCCTCATTCACACCCCCACCTCCCCCCTCCTGCTTCTCATGCTCACCCTCCTCCCGTTCCTTCCTGTGGTTCCTCACACCCTGTTCTTCCCCGTCCCTCATTTCCCCTGCCTCCTCTAGCCTTCCCCTCTCCTCCCGCCCTTCCCCACAACCCTCCTCTTCCTCATCTTCCTCCTTGTCCTCCTCCTCATCCTCTTTCATTCCCCCCTCCTCATGCTGATTCGTCTCTTCACCATCCAACCTCCGCACATTGTCCCCCCGCCCTCTGCGCACATCCACTCTCATTGAAGCCCCTGGCTCTCGCCTCCCACCCACCCACCGGAATCCCCGTTCCTCTGCCACTGCGCGTAACACCCCTTCATCTGCTTTAATCTCACCACTTGTTGCTGCAGCCGTAGCAGGAGCAGCAGCAGGGGGAGGATGAGGAGAGCTAACAGAGGCATCGGCAGTGCCGCCAGCATCCACCGCCGTGTCTCTTCCACCCTGGGCCATCCTAGGAGCAGCTCTAAAAGCAGCAGGCATGCCGGCCCTCGCACCTCTACCACCCCTTACTGCCGCTGGCCTTCTGAATGCTCCAGCCGCTCTCATCCCTGTTGCTCCACCTGTGTCACATGCTGCTGCTGGTGCTGCTGGCGGCACTGCTGCTGATTCTTCTACTGCTCCCAGTGGCACTTCTCCTGCTGCGGCTTCTGCTACAGCCTCCTCGCCAGACCCCGGAACCTCTAACACTCGCATCACCACTCCTGCAGTGCCTGCTACTGCTCTAGCTCCTCCAGGCACTGCTGCTGCACTTGGTGCTGAGGGGACTTCTGCTACTCTGCCTGCCACCAGCGCTGGTGAACCTGCAGCTAATACAGGCTGTGGCCCTGCGTGCACCGAGCCTGCCGGTGAGGATTCTACCGGTACCAAACTTGCTGGTAACCCTACAGTGCCTGCCGGAGCTCTTGCCGAACCTCCGGTTCGCCCTCCTCTCACAGCGACAGGCCTGCCCCGGACCGCCACTGCCCGCCCACCTCTAACAACCGCACTGCTGCTGCCACTACCACCACCGCCACCACCACCACCGCCACCACCACTGCCACCACCTCTAACGACTCTTGGGAGGGACCTTTGGGGAGTCTCTGGAACCCCTCCCCGCACTGCCACTGCTCGCCCCCCTCTCACGACCGCACTTCTGCCTCGCGGCTGCCGGCCCTCCCAGGTGGAGGAAGGCGCATGAGAGGCAAAGACAGGAGCAGCAGACGTGAGTTGAGCCTCTTTTGACCTTGAACCTTCACCGCTTGCACCGCCGCCAGCACCACCTGTGCTGATGTCCGCACCAGCAGCAGCGGCAGCAGCACCATCAGCGCTGCTCTTAGCAGCAGCAGTATCAGAAGCGGGTGGTGTTCCAGCAGCACGGGTCGTAGCAACAGGGAGTGCATGCTCTCTCTCCCGCCTCCACTGCCTGCCATCCTCCCCATCTCCATCCCCACCATCCCCACCATCATCACCACCTCCTCCTCCTCCTCCTCCTCCTCCTCCTCTCCCTCTGATTCCATTCCCATGAGTTCCATACCCACTGCCTTCTCCCCCTACCCGCCCTGCCTCCCCTCTGCTTCCTCCCCTCTCTCCACCCCCTGAACCACCTCCTCCTCGCCCTCCTCCCTCTCTACCCTTGTCTCCTTCCCCTCGTCGCCTTTCCCCCCTCTCATGCAAATCCCCTGCCAAACTATGCCCCACCACGCCAGCTCTTCTTAAAGCCGCATCATCACTATCCCCTCTCCTGTTCCTGTCCTCAGCTGACTGGTCTCTGCAGAAGCTATTGCCCCTCTCCCACTCATCATGCCTTCCTTCCTCCCCCTCCTCGTCCCTTCCCCGGTCCCCTCGTTCCCGCTCCCCGCTCCTGCTCTCCCACTCCCCGCCCCTCCTCTCCCCTTCCCTGTCCACTCTCTCCCGCTCCTTACCCCTCCTCTCCCCTTCCCTTCCCCCTCTCCCCCACTCCTTGCCCCTTCTATTTCCTTCCCTGCCCTCTCTCTCCCACTCTCTGCCTCTTCTCTCCCCTTCCCTGCCCTCTCTCTCCCATTCCCTGCCTCCTCGCTCCCTTTCCCTGCCCCCACCCTCTCGTTCCCTGCCCCCCCTTTCCCGTTCCCTCCCCCCACCCCCCCTTTCCCTGCCCCCACCCTCCCGGTCCCTGCTCCAACTCCGCCTCTCCATCTCTCCACCCTCCACCCCTCCAGGACTCAACAACCCCTCTCTGTGCCCCTCCCTATCCCTGCTTACACTGCGGCTGCTGCCCCACTCGCCCTCATGCAACCCCTCCTTCCCTCTCCCTCCCACTCCATGACCCCTCTCTGCATCATATCCATCTCCTTCTTCCCCTCCAAAGCCTCTCTCTACCAGATGCTCCTGCTCGTGTGATCTGTTTCTATTGCTCTCACCCCTTGCCTCGCCCTCCCCCTCCGCGTCCCAGCCCCCCCCATGTCTATCCTGCACGGCTAGCACCACCCTATCCCTATCCCTATCCCTATCCCTGTTCCTCTCCCTCTCCCTATCCCTCTCCCCTTCCCGCTCCCTCTCTCCCCCCCTTTCCCTCTCCCTCTCCCCATCCCTATCCCCATCCCTATCCCTATCCCTATACCTAACCCTATCCCGCTTCTTTTCCCTCTCCTCCCTCTCCCCATGCAATTCCTCCCCCCTCTCCTTGTATTTCTCTCTCTCCCTTCCACCCACCCTGTCCCGATGCCTGTGCCTATCCATATCCCTCTCCCTGCTACTACCTTTTTCCCCCTCTCTCTCTCGCCCATGTTCCCTCTCCCCTTCCACACCAACACCCCTCACCTGCCTCTCCCTCTCTCGCAACCTCCTCCCATCCACATCATCCCCTCTTCTCACCACCCTTCCCCATTCCCCGTCCAACCCCTCGTCCCTCCCCATCCCCACCTCTTTCCGCTTCTCCAGAAATGTTTCATGGTACCCATGCCGCATGCCCATCTCTTCACCATCATCCTGCATCTCATGTGCATCCGCATACCCATCCCTGCCCAAGCCCCTCCTAGACTCGCCTGCATGATCCCTCTCCCGCGCCCCACACATCTCCTCACCGTCCCCCCCTCCCCTGTCTCCACTCCGTGCCCTTTCACCCCCTCGCCCGTACCACTTACTGTGATACCCGCTATGGCGCTCACTGTTATACTCGCTATGATGAGCAGCACTCTCAGGCGCAGTGTGGGGAGGAGTGGGGGACGCGGTGTGGGGAGGAGTGGGGGATGCGGTGTGGGGAAGAGTGGGGGACGCAGTGTGGGGAGGCGTGGGGGACGCAGTGTGGGGAGGCGTGGGGGAAGCAGTGTGGGGAGGCGTGGGGGGAGCAGTGTGGGGAGGAGTGGGGGAGGCAGTGTGGGGAGGAGTGGGGGAGGCAGTGTGGGGAGGCGTGGGGGAAGCAGTGTGGGGAGGAGTGGGGGAAGCAGTGTGGGGAGGCGTGGGAGAAGCAGTGAGTGGAGGAGTGGGGGACGCAGTGTAAGGGCTTCTCGACCAGTACCGTGCTGTGTCATATCCCCGTTGCTCCAAGTTACCCTCCGGGCTTCGCACCGCACGTCGAGGGTGCTCGTCATTCCTCCCACCATGCCCATCCGCCCATGCTGCTCTGTTCCTATCACCAGCAGCAGCAGCACCACCACCACCACCGACACCACCACCATCAACAGCACCATCAGCAGCAGCAGTGTGAGCAGCAACAGGAGAAACCCTAGCCCTTCGCTTCATCCCAGCGCCTCTCAACACCCCCTGATCCCTCCTCTCCTCCTGCTGCCCAGCGCCACGCCGCCTACCCCCCTCCCCTTCTCTCCAGCCCTCCCACTCCTCCTCTCGCTCTACCCTCGTGCCAGGACGGCTCTCCACAGGAGAGCGCTCATGCCTTCTCACACGAAGCTGAGGGGAGTGAGGTTCTGGAGAGTGAGGGTTTGGGGAGTGATGCTTCGAGGTGTGAGGCGTTGACAACTGAGGTTCTGGCGAGAGTGGGGCTGGGCGGACAGCAGGGAGTGCAAGGATGTGCGTAAAGGCAGGATCAACAGGAGTGAGGGGTGAGGCGGCAACAGCAGCGTCGGGCAGAGGGGTGAGTGGCGATGGTGTTGGGAGAACTGAATGCATCCCTGCATTATCTGCTTCCGCTCTTTCCACTCTTTCATCTCTGTCCCCTCTTGCCTCTCTTGCTTCTCTTGCCTCTCTGTGGGTGTTATGGTTATCTCTATATACCACCATGGCATGTCTACCAGCATTGCACTCGGCCCGTACCCCATTCCCGTCTCCTCGATACAACTTCCTCTTCTTCTTCACCTTCTCCTTCATACGACTGCCTGGGTCTTTTTCGTTCCCATCCTCACTGTCAGCATCAACACCAGCAGCACCAGCAGCAGCACCCCATTTGCGCTTCCGCAGTCTCTTCCCCACCACAGCATCGGCCCCTCTCAGTGCAAGCAGCGGCACAGCAGAAAGACCATCCCTCGCAGCACCACCCTCAGCACCCTTGAAAGAACCTCCCTTACCAATAACCTTGACACCACCCCCCACCCCACGAGCATCACCACCACCACGACCACCATTAGCCCCAGCAGCAGCACCAGCCGCCCTAAACCCTCCGGCAGCAACACGTGGAGAGGGAACTAAGCTGGCCTGCCGGGAATTCGCAAGGATAAATCGCTCAGGGGGAGGCATGAGGTCCTGCGAGTGAATGTACCAGGCAATGAGGGGATGGCAGGTGGCTACGTCGCGGGGATCGAGAGTGCATATGTGCGCGCACCCTGCTTCCATTACTTGGCCCTTGGCGGGGCCTGCGAGCCAGCGCAGGGAGAAGTGACAGGTGCACTCCTCCTTGCCGTGCGCCCATGTGTGCTCCTGGTGAATCACCTGCGTTGACAGAGGGAGGGAGGGAGGGAGGGAGAGAGGGAGGGATGGGCGGCGGTGGTGGTGGTGTGAGGCGCCGGCACAACGGGTGGCTCTTGTGTGGCCTGGTGTGTTGAATGGGGTGGAATGTGCTTGGAATGGAAGGGGGAATGGAAGGAGAGGTGAACCATTGGGTCGAGGAGGAGGAGGAGGAGGAGGAGGAGGAGGAGGAGGAGGAGGAGGAGGAGGAGGAGGAGGAGGAGGAGGAGGAGGAGGAGGAGGAGGAGGAGGAGGAGGAAGAGGAGGAGGAGGAGGAGGAGGAGGAGGAGGAGGAGGAGGAGGAGGAGGAGGAGGAGGAGGAGGAGGAGGAGGAGGAGGAGGAGGAGGAGGAGGAGGAGGAGGAGGACAAGGACAAGGACAGCAACGACGACAAGAATGAAGAGGAGCGGGAGAAGGAGAAAGAGTGCAAATGGGAGAGTGCTAAGGGAGAGAGTGCAAAGGGAGTCCCCACCTGAAGCACGCGGGCATCGTAGTACGTGCACTGCTCGCCACTGACGCGGTACGCGCACACCTTGTCACCACGCTTCACCGCCCTGCACCGCGCGTCCTGCAGCTGGTGCGACACGAACCGCACCCGCGCCCGCACCTGCTGCTCGCCTGCCAGCACCTCCTCCTCCCCGCTGAACCCCTTAAACTCCACCAACAGCCTCCGGGATTGATGGTTATGATGATTAAAATGGTGATTGCCATGGCTATCTCTGTCTGGGTTATCATCATTATCACTGCCATCCGTATCTCCACCGCCCTGCCCTCTCCTTCCATCCCCGCCTGTCCCCAATGCCGCTCCGTTGCTTCTTTTCCCAGCAGGTAGAACCCACAGCCGCGCAGCGTACCACGCATCGTCCGCCTGTGAACACACCTCCAGAGCCTCCTCCCCTTCCTCGTCTTCCTCATCCTCCTCCCCATCTTCCTCCTGCTCCCCCTCCTCGTCCCACTCTTCCTCCTGCTCCTCGTCCTGCTCTAGCCCCGTGCTGCGACGAACCACTCCATCCCCACCACCACCCGCCTGTCCCCGCGCATACCCGTTACAAGCACGAAGAGGACTGTGCTTCGCTACACCCGCGGCCAGTTGTAGCGGAGATTGATTTGAAGTCATAGCGTACGAGACTTGACAACCGTTGTGCACGGGCGAGACAAATGGACAGGCACTGCTGCACAATAAACGCCAATTCTCCTACCACTCCCTCCTCCCTACCCTTTCTCGTCTTCTCACGTTCTCCCCAGCCTCTCTCTCTTATCCCTCTTTCCTATGCCTCTCCCTTAGGCCTTTCCCCCTTCCCCCCAGCAATTGTAGCTTCAATCCGAGGGTCACCTGATCCCATCAGCTACAGTTTCGGCTGACGTCACTAGTGCTTCGAGAACGTCGCGTGGGTTCGCTTACCCGAATTACGCTACATTCGCCAATTATAGCGAACAACTAGCAATGCTGTGACAGATAGTCGCTTTTCAGTGTCTAAACAACTTTGCATCGCCGTCCTTTGCGATTCATGCATATTTGCTAGTGTCAACCTGCCGCTTCGTCGAACCTGACACAACATCGCTTCAAAGCGATTTGCATATAATGAGGTTTCTGTTCGCGACTGATACCACTAAGCTCCTTCACGAACTACCATCTCATTGGCCCTGTTCGATAGCCTTCTAGTCACACTGGGCCCACTCGAACTGGGGAAGCCTACGAAATGTTTCGTAGCCTCGGGCGTCCACTCACACTGAAAGGAAGTCTCGTTCCCAAATGCAAGAAGTTACCTTGCATTTCTTAGGAAATTACTTGCCGAAACATTTACTGCTGTAGGAGGCTGCCCCAACCACAAAAAAAAAAGTCAGTCCGCCAAATGAAAAACGGTCGATATGGATAAAGAAAATCAGGAACGGGCACGATCTCTCATCGTTTGAAAGAGCGTGCTAAAAAACTTTAATTTGAGCCGAATCGAAACTACTGCAGCGTATACCCTCCAGCCTGCCACTCTGAGCGGGCCTGCCTGGGTTGAACTGGAAAGCTGAAATGGGAGGGACTTCCACTGACTCGAGTTTGCCTGGGCGCGACAGTTTCGTGGTAGTGTCCTGGCACGCAGTTGAAGTGGGGTTTTTAATGCCTTCGGTAGCCCAGTTGCACTGGACAGGCTCGGTGCTCTAATAACGGTTTGTTGGGTTTTAATTGACTTGAATTTAGGAAACAGAAGATCCCACGCACCAACCGCAGTATGACTGGGAGGGCTACCGAACAGGGCCGTGAAATAAACTCCCAACAGGAAACACCACGAAGTCTCGAAGTCTCAGTCGTCAAGCAGAAACCAGAGCGGCCCTGCTCGACAGGCAGGCTCCTCCTTGGAGCGCTAGGGTTTGGCTAGGGCTAGAAGCGATTTCGAAGTAGTTTCGGCTACCCCCCCAACCCCCCCCCCCCCCCCCCCCCCCTCCCCCCACCCAAAAAAAATCGGAAACAGCGCCGCCCGAGGTCGGAAGGTGGGGGGTGTCATGGCGATGTTGCAGCCCCACCTTCCACCATCTTCATCGTGGGCAGTGTATAAATTTTGGGGGAGATATGGCATTCGCACCAGGGTAAACCAAAGGGCGTCGTGCGTGGGGGGTGGCTGGTTTGTTTGTGGGAGGCTGAGACAATTTCAGGGCAGAGATGGGAGAGGCTAGGGCACGGGCTCTGGAGGGAAAAGTTTCGTAGAGTATGGGGTGGGTTTTTCCTCCCGTATGAAACCCTAGCCTAGCTCTTGGCCAACCTCCAAACCGGGGGTTGGAGGGCTGGGCTAGAGGTAGGCTAAAGCCCACGCGTGAGAGAAGGGGCTGGGAACTTTCGGGGGGGGCGAACTTGAAGGGTTAATGTCGCGTTCGACAGGCTAACCGTTAACCCTTCTTGTTACGGGGCGGTAAAGCCCAGGGACACCAGATTGCGGGCTGACCGTTGAAGAAGAACCCTAAATCGAGACCGCCGCGAAAGTGCAGTGGAAGTGTTTGCCTGCCTGTCGAGCAGGGCCAGCATAAGTGAAGTTCACTGTTCAATTTCCCTAGCTGCAGGAGTGAAGTTCACTCGTGTTCATTTTCCCGAAGGTCCCAAGTTTGCGAGGGAAAGCAGCCTTCGGTAGAGCTCGTTCTCCCTGTGGTTCCTGTCCTGTCCTGTCAACCGATTCGCCAATTGGCTCCATGATTATGTTGAAATGGTGAGTCTCGCTGACGTGTGAACAATCGGAACCGTAGATTTCTCAACACTGCAAGCTTGGAACTGACGAAACTATCTCGAAGCGGGAAATGAAAAATACCCGCTAGTAGGTCGCCACATATTCAAAATAGCTTAGGGAAGCCAGTTTACTTGGTGACTCACATTTTTCACCCACCCAACCAAAGACCAGAGGTACGGTAACACTAGAACTAAAGAAAAAACATCCACAAGGAACTTTCTATTGTAGCTACTAGAACTATGAAATAATAAATGCCTAACCATTATACCGTAAATTTTGTGAAAAAAACCACGGATATATTGCAGAGCATAATAGAAACTTTGTTGGCCTTGGCGAGAGCTCGTTAGGAAAACGGTAGCACTGACAGCTGCAAAGTAGACCTGACCTGACTGGGATTGATTGTCAACTTCAAATTAACTAGGACCTTAAGGTATCACCCTCTCATCTTCCCATGTGCCATTACCATCCTCCCAGCTCCACTAGGGCTGTCAGTGTCATAACACAACTGTAGCTTCCATTAAGGGTGCCTCCAAACCTCACTCCCCAACAGCACTGTTTCCCTGCACTCAGTTTGTATTCAAAGCCCGACAGCTCCCCTCTGCCCTTGTTCTGATTCATCATCATCCGCCAAGGTGGAGTACAGCTTCTCACTCCTGTATCCTTCTGGCTGGCTTCAATCGAATCTGTACCACCACCTCACCCTTCTCTCTTCCACAGCAGTGCTTGGATTGGAACCTTAAAATCCTCCCCAATCATCCCAGTCATCCTTCTTGGCAGCACCCCCTTTCTTTGCTGCACCAGCAGTGGCAGTGCTGGCAGGAGCGGGCGATGGCACATCATCCCATCCGCCCCATGAGTCCGACTCAGTCTCTGTTGCTGCTGCTGCCGCTGCCTGCTTCTTTTGTGCACCAGTTCCTCCAGATGCGCGGCTCCCACCATTACTGCTGCTGCTGGCCATGTTTCCCTGCCCCCTGTTAGCCTTAGGGCTCACACCATCCCACTCATCATCCCAACCAGTGAACGGCTTGTCATCCTTTGTGCTACTGCTCCTTCCCTGCCCGAATCCGTCCCCCTCGCTCCCATTATACCTGCCGCTGCCAGCCTGACCTGACTGCCCCTTGTTATCATCTCCCCAATCATCCCAGTCGTCAAAGCCACCTCCTCCCCGGTTCCCTCCCACAGCGCCGCCAGCACCGCCAGCACCACCTTCGCTCACAGCCGCACCAGTAAGGCCCTGGACTATCATGCTCCCAGCGTTTGCGCTGGCTGCAGCTGCCACCTCAAGTGCGTTGCCCACAGCACCGCCCGAGTAACCATCCACGGTTTGCACAGCCCGCTCTGTAAAGGCACGCATGAAGCCCCACGCTGACTTCCCGATCTCAGTCGCACGCCCTGCCACCACGGACGCGGTCTCGATGGCCTTCTTGTCCAAGCCACCTTCCGTGACCTGTTATGTTGCGGCCATAGGGTAAGACGGGGGGTACAAGGCTGACCTGATTTGTCTGCATGTTGTTGCACTGCAAGGGGCTAACGCAACGTGAACATACGCGGTTCTTCCTTCCCTCGCTGTATCTTTCCTATATCGTGTATGGTATGCCTCGCTGAGAACAATTGGTTGCCATTTTATTGTTGCTCTTCGAGTACCGAGAGACTGCTTCCGCACCGACATGACACGGCCTCACATAATGCTACGTTCGGAACAAGACTCTTACCCCTGCGTGGATGTCCTTGGCTCCTTCCTGGACCACCGCCGCGGCTGAGCTTGCCACCCCCACAGCCGCCATCGAGAGAGAACGGAAGCTCTGGAGTTAGGGCGAACACGCATGGCGATCAGCCCCCGTGGGGAGCCAGACAGAGAAAACAGAACGAATGGCAGGTTGTGCAGAAACGCACGTCAATAAAGGTGTGGAGGTGGCACTTCGAGACGACAGAGGATGGAGTGGGAAATGCGCAAGCGAAAAGCGACGGGACGAACACAACGACGTGGGCAGGGAAGGCGGAGATGAGACAAAGGTGGACTCGCACACTCAAGCTACACTCAGATTCGACTGGTTACCTCGGAGACAATCTTGACGGTATCTTCAATAACGTCCTCGCCGCCTCGATTAGCGGGCCGGTTAACGGGCGCACTGCCGAATCCCACGTACTTGCCTCCCTGGCTCGGCGGAAGGCCCTCCGGCCTCGAGGCGTTCTCCGCTTGCTTCCGCGCGAAGAACGACTCCTTCCCCGCCGCCGACGCCTCCAGCTGCTCCCGCGAGTAAATCTCATTGGTGGAGCCGGAATGATGACCCATTCCATGGCCACCACCACCGCCGCCGCCTCCGCCACCGGCGGCTGCCAGATTGCTCCGTCGGCCGCTCGCGCCGTGTCCAGAAGTAATACTATTTTCGGACTGGTGCCTGCGCATGCCCGCTTGGCTGCCAGAGCTGCCGTCGCCCCAGTCATCCCAGCCGTCGCTGGAGCCGAATCCACCTGGGCTTGCTCTAGCAGTCGGACGGCTCCCTCCACCCGTGCCCGACAAGGATACCTTTTCAATGTTAGGAGCCGTCCAGGATCGGCCTTCCGCCATGGCTTGAATCTTGGACCGGTAGGCTTCCGCGGCGGGGGTGTTGTACTTAACTGCGATGTCGGTTTCCTTAGGCACGCCGTACCGAGAAAGGAATTCATTCAGCGCGAGATTGCCGCCGGATTCCATCTTCTTGAGTTGGATCTCGGACCAGGAATCCATGGTGACGGATCGCACGAAGCTGATGTGCACGCCGAGCCCGCGATGCCGGCCGGAACACTCGAGGCACATGAAGATGCCGTAGCTGACGGAGGCCCATTGCGGGTTCTTCTGGCTGCAATCCACACAGATCTTGTTACCCGGTTGCGATTGCAGCTCCCGCAGCCGCGCAGCCGCCGGTGCTGATGCCATAGCGGGACAATAGACTGGGCGGAAGTAACAGGAGTTGCGAGTGAGAATTGTTTTGACTCTCGCTCAGACTTGGGAGGAACAAGCCCGACAAGTGGAGAATTGCGATGTTGGGGCTTCAGGAGAACCACGACAATAGCTAGTTACAGGCCTGGACACATGTCCTGTCAGGCAGCAGCGAATAAACGTTCATCATACGGCTAGTGCATTACGTGTGCACCCCATGAGCACCAATACTTGGGTGAGAGACTACAGGGCACAACTGACCAGCACTAACCACAAACGCGCAAAAAATTACGAGCAGCCAGGTTGCTCACCTGTGATCCACCAGGCAACTGGTGGGAAGGGGTGTGCGAGTGTCAGCGAAGAGGTGGTGGTGGCTCCGGAAGAAGTGTATGGGTGTTGCCAAGGGAACGATCTCAAGGGATTCTAATGAGCTTCCGTCGCTGAAGCGGGGGGCAACAGTAGGTTGTTGGAGCGGTCAGTTTCGGCTGGCTGGTCGCCCTCGGGTCTGGTTTGGCAACCCTTGGGCTTGGTTTGGCGGGAAAACATCTGGGCGGGGAGAGCGGTGGGTTTCGACCGTTACACGTTCTGGAAGGGTTTGATAGTATCCGAATTGTTCCCGCTGAGAAAGGCTACTGCACAGATATGCTTTGGCTTCCTAGTACCATAACCATACCGTACAGCAAACGCTACCCTACCCAGCCTTCACATACCAGGACACATGATAGCAACAATACAAGCAATACTTTAATTCAGACATGCAATTAATTTATTGTACTATCCTGACATCCCTTCATTGTGAAAATTTGCACGACGGTGAGAGGCGCATTGCTGTGCCCCAGCGGTGTGGTGTGGCTAGTTGTTGTTGGGCTCGGGCGGTGAGGGCGGCGGAATCATGGTTTCAGTGACCATGACGAGGATCATGACCATGAGTGCCATGTCGATGTGGGCCTTCACATCCAGCAGCAGCGAGTGGTGCGAGCGCGGGCCAAAGGGATCCATCCTCACCTCCGCCACCGCCACCCGCCTTGGGTTAAACACCTGAGAGTGGCGAGTGGATGCAGAAAAAGGTTGAGAAGGAGAGGGAAGAAGGGGGAAGACGGGAAAGATTCATAGAATGGCACAGAAGGTGGACATGCATGAAGGCAAGTGCATGCGAACAAGAAATTGCAGTGCGACAGAACAGAATATGGAGGGGTGTGAGGGGATCTGGGGAAGGGGTGTGAGGGGATCTCGGGAAGGGGTGTGAGGGGAGGAGGTGTTTCTGTGGCAGAGTCTCACTGTGGAGTTTTGAGTAAGTGTAGCATATGCACCTTGAACTCAAGCTTCTTGAAGTTGCCATACGCCACGAGGTCCGGCATGCTTGTGACGTTCTGCTTCAGGTATATCTGCCAAGATGTGCACACGGAGGGAAAGGGCGGAAAGTGAGTGCACTCTAGATTTGTGAGCAGGCCCTATATTCCCCTGGATGAAGCAGGCCTCTGTCACCTTCACTCCACCTGCCCTCGACCTCTCCACCCCAATCATCCCGAACACCGTCGGTTGCCCTTCTTTGCCCTGCTTCATCAAGAGCACAGTACACTACTCTGCAACCCTCATCATTACCCCCACCCGCACCACCCCACACCACCCCTCACCACCCCACGCTACCCCTCACCACCACTCCACCCCTGCGCATGTACCATGTTGGCCCCACTGCGCACCTCCATCCTGGGGAGCGTCGCGGCGACCTTGCGCGTGCGCACAACGAAGTGATCCGAGTTGGTATCGCGGCCGAGCATCATGTGCGTGCTGCAGTGCAGAGAAAACGCCGCCTCCACCGCCGTGCACACCGCCTCGCCCGTGCTGTTCACGAGAGTCTTCTTGTCGCGCCACTCCATAATCCTGCGTGGGAAAAGGTGGGGAGGAGGGGGAATTGTGAAGGGATGGGTCGGGTTAGGCGACGGGGTGAGAGAGCGATTGCGCAGGATCCGGGAAAGGGAGGAAGGGGAAGAAACACACGCCGTTCGCTACAGCCCCTCGTTTCGCAACCGCCTTCGTTCGCGAGAGGCACTCACTTGTCCTCGACTTTGAAGTGCGTGCGGCCCTCCACGTCCGTGACTTCGAACTCGTCGGCCATTTGCCACTTGCGCGAGCGCACCAGCAGCGTCGTCTCGTACGGCAGGCAATACTCCTCGCCGAACACGCACACCGGCTCCGCGCTCGCCGCCGTCTTCGCCGGCGGCAAGTACGGCAGGTTTCCCGCCATTGGAATCGAGAGGGTGGGGAAAGAGAGGCTATGTGAGGGGAAGGAGGTACGGGGACGATGGTAACAGAGCAGCAATAGAGATGCGATTCTACAAGCTGGAAATGCGGTTGTACCACGGTGCAAGAACGCAACGGTGCAAGAACGCAAGCGTGAAAGAACGCAATGTTAAAAAGGACGCAGTGGTGATTAAAGAACACAACGGCGGTGAAAGAAGACGCAATGCAGTGAAAGGCTGTGCTGCGGCACACAGCCCGTAAGATGCTTCGCAGGCGCCAGCATGACGCGGGACCGCATGAGCAGGTAATGTAGGTGAGTCAGCGGGTGCGCACGCGCTAGAACCGCACCACAGGTACGCATATTGCGGAGGGGTTGCGCTGGCCTCGGGGGCAAGGGAAAAGGCATATGCATATTGGTGCAAATGTCGCAAGCAAGCGGAGGAAGAGTAGCACTGGTGCCCAACGAAGTGGCAGAGTCCAACTGAGAACAAACTCCAGGTGGTGCTCACGTGAGGCGAATGCAACTGAATGGGCTACCGCTGGTTCGTTTTACATAGAAAGTACGTACACTTCACATTGCAGGTTTTAATAATCTATACAGCTATTATGCAGTGCTCCCAGTTAGGACAGTGGTGTGGATGTACACATTGTACGGTGTATTACAATTTTTCTAGAAAATACAAACATGTGATGTGCCCACAGGGCCCAAGGGACGCAGGATCGCCGGAGCAGCTTCCTACCAACACACGAATCAATCGACAGTCTTGATTTTGGCTAATTGTTGTTGGGCGAGGGCGGTGAGGGCGGCGGAATCATGGTTTCAGTGACCATGACGAGGATCATGACCATGAGTGCCATGTCGATGTGGGCCTTCACATCCAGCAGCAGCGAGTGGTGCGAGCGCGGGCCAAAGGGATCCATCCTCACCTCCGCCACCGCCACCCGCCTTGGGTTAAACACCTGAGAGTGGCGAGTGGATGCAGGAAGGAGAAGGTGAGAAGAGAAAAGGGGATGGGGAAGGATAAGGAGAATGGGCACAGTAGGTGGATGGGCATGAAGGCAAGTGCATGCAAGCTTGGGATTGTTAAGGGTGGAATATGGGTTAGGAAAGGAGAGGTGGGAGGTGAAAAGCAAGAGGTGTTTCTGTGGCAATGTTGCAGAGTGGAGATTTGGGTACGCAGATGACATGACAGTGTACCTTGAAATCAAGCTTCTTGAAGTTGCCATATGCCACGAGGTCCGGCACGCTTGTGTTGTTCTCCTTCAGGTATATCTGCCAAGATGCACACACGGAGAAAGACGGTGGGGGAGGGGAGGACGCGTAAAGGAGGGAGAAGAAGGGAAGAGGAGGAACAGGGGGAGGGGAGAGGGAGCCGGGGGTGCAGAACAGGATGAGTGGTGTGGTTTGGTTTGGTTTCGTGTGGTGTGGTGTGGTGTGGTGTGGTGTGGTGTGGTGCAGACTGATATGGTGTTTCCTACCAGATGAACCACACTGGCCAGGAAGTGTGTGCACTCTATAACCCGTGAGCAATGCTATGGTCCTTTGGAGTAATAGCACCTAGCCATTGCATGTGTCACCTCCATTCCATGATGCCAGACTCCCTTCAGTTGACCATCTACGCCCTGCTTCATCAGAAGCACAGCACACTTCTCTGCACCCCTCTTCATTACACCTCACCACCCCCCGTTGCCCCGCACCACCTCCCACTACCCTGCACGCCTTGTGCATTTTGAGGCGCCTCAAAAGCCACCACACCCCGAAATTCTAACCACCCTCCACCCCTCCATCCCCACGCATTTCCAAGGCCGGCCGTCCTCGGCTCACCTCCATGCGCGGGTGCAAGTGGGACACCTTGCGCGTGCGCACAACGAAGTGGTCCGTGTTGGTGTCGCGCCCGCGCATCATGAGCGTGCCGCTGTGCAGCGTGAGCGCCTTCTCCACCGCCGTGCACACCGCCTCGCCCGCGCTGTTCACCAGCGTCTTCTTGTCGCGCCACTCCATCAGCCTGCGCGTACCATGGGGGGAACGGAACGCAAGTGCGTGGGGAGGAAGGGGTGGGGAGGAGAGGGGGGAGGGTGGGGGGGGGGGGGGGGGGGGGGGGAGGGGGGAACGGCCGGGAGGAGGGATATATTGAGGGGGAGGCGCCTCACAAGTCGCCCACGCTGTTCACCAGCGTCTTCCTGTCGCACCATACTCCTCCATTAGCCTGCCTGCACGTACAAAAGGGAAAATATAAAGGGAAGCGCGAACGGATAGTGCGAGGGAAGGCGGATGGAGGAGAGAGCGCTTGCGGAAAGTATGGTGGGGAGGGGGAGCGGGAGAGCACACGGCATCACCCGCATTGCCGCATGAATCGCCTGGGTGCCGGCGGTCGTGCCTCGTCAATTCGTTAGCCTGACCGTGGATGGATAGGAAAATGTGAGTGATGTGAGGGATGCGAGCGTTCCGTACTACTAGGATGTCCACATTTGCCAAGCACAGTCACGCAATGTGCTCTCGTAACGCCTGCTCGAGCTCCTTTCACGCTCATTTCGTACGGTGCCATGTTCGGCACAGTCCCTCGTTCGCTACAGCCCCCTCCGTCGCGACAGCCGCTCACTTGTCCTCGACTTTGAAGTGCGTGCGGCCCTCCACGTCCGTGACTTCGAACTCGTCGGCCATTTGCCACTTGCGCGAGCGCACCAGCAGCGTCGTCTCGTACGGCAGGCAATACTCCTCGCCGAATACGCACACCGGCTCCGCGCTCGCCGCCGTCTTCGGCGGCGGCAAGAACGGCAGGTTTCCCGCCATTGGAAACGAAGGAGTGGGAATGGAGAGGTGTTGTTAGGACAAGGAGGCAGAGGGACGCGGTGTCGGGGAAGCAACTAATCTACTGGCAGCACACAATGCACTTAGAAGGTTGGGTTGAGGGGGGGTCCAGCTCGTACATTTACTGTTCGTAAACCCCCTCAGCACCACATTTTTTGTGGTAACCCTTTATTGAACGTGTCCAGCGGACACAATCAGCTTCTGTTCGCAAGACGGCACGCCCCATGCACGTACCTAGAGTCGTCTGACTCACGTTACTGGAATCAGCAGGGACGCGAACAAGGGTACAGCACCGCGTCCCTGGCCACTACAGTTCGTTTCCCTTGTATCGCTTGCACGATTTCGTCAGTGGTTCGCTCTACTCGCCAGCGTCCCCTGCGCCTGCACAAAAATTTTCAAGCTATGATTGACGAGGGAAACTGTTACCTCGTTTTCAACGTGGTCAGAGCACAGTTCATTCGTGTGGCGGGGAATGTGTCCGCGCTTCTGAAATTACAGGATGGTTGGACTCCACTCACAATGCTTTCGTTTCTAGGTACGGTAGTCATTTTTGAACCTCGATACGTGCGTTGGCACGAAAAATCCCGAAATGAACGAACTGGACACGCCCTGAGCACTCCGTTCACGGCATGTACAAGCGCATGCGGCAGCACGACGCGGGGGCAAAATACAGTAACAGATGATTGGTGAGTGAGGGGGTGCGCAAGCGCGGAGAGGGGGGACACCACCACACAACAACACCACCAGGCCAAACCATTCTCGCGGAGCGGAGGGGGTGTGGACCACAATTGCGTAATGGGAAGGGTACCCATTGCCCAACCAAGCACATCCAGCTGGCAGCACTATTTATCAGCTCGAATCGCAGATTCGGAGCTGATGCTTCCTTCATTGATACTGTAGCTCAGGTACGCCGGCCAAGCCAGTATTTTCTGGCATGATGAACTGCATCGGATAGCAGTACACCCGAACTAATAAACGAAGAAAGCACAAAATCATTTCCATTACATATACAATACAACGTGGGTTTATAGAACACGTCACCAGAAAGACTTTCTTCCTAGGAGGTACTGCAGACGAGCTTGCCTCCCAGGTAGTAGCAGCGATTGACAGCACTAGCTGAAGCAACCACACGATCACTTGCCATTGCAAATCCAATTTCCGAAATCAGAACCCGCCCCAGCTTCCTGTGACCAGCGCTGGCAGCCAGAGCGGCATACTGCACACCATCATTAGCAGACCCCCCAGTTTCCAGCATAGCCCTTGGCGGTGCCTGCTGCTGGCCCGGGTCCCCACCGTCAGCCCCTGCTGCTGATGCAGCATCTGCAGCGGGTTCAAAGAACGTGGCGGTCTGGTAGGAAAAGGTGAAGCAGGGAATGTCAGCGTCAGTGGTGCAGATCCCGCCATTGCTGTTAGGGAACGGCTTGTAGATGATGTATGTGGCCGTGTAGAGGGTGCCATCGGGGTTGCTGGTCGGCGTGGACGACACAATGATGGTTCCTCGCAGCTTCTTGTTCTGCGACAAGGCGACAGTTACCAGGTAGTCCGACACCACCTGCGGGATCGCCGGATCCACATTCTGGAATTTGGGGATGGGAAATCAAGGATCGGGGAAGAAAGGTGAACCTCGCGGCCAAACGACGAAGGATACGAAGGAAGAAGTCTCTTTCAATCAGCTCACTCGAATGCGGCCAAATCAGGAATGATCCCGTGGCGTGGCTAGCTCTCGCTCCCCCGCTTCTCAGCCACCCTTGATTGGAATATTTCGCCGCGCGGCCGAACTTACCAGCGTGTCTGTAGCTGACACCGTCCCTTCTGTAGCCTGAATTTCGCCAGCAATCGGCCCAGTAACCGTCAGCGGGCGCGGAGAGTCGTTGACGACCGTCACTTCCACGTCAGCATTGTCGAGCGCAGCGGGAGAAATCGAAAAGATGAAGGCGGACCGCGCCACAAGCGGCGGGAGCGCAGAAATGCGCGCAAAGGATCCCCGAGCGCCCGCAGAGTCGGGCGGAGCGTATGAGTAGTAGACGAGAGAATTGGCGCAGCGGTGAAGGCGCTTGAGCTTATCCGAGTTGCCAGCGTAGAAATAGGAGGGCATGTCGCTCTTGCTCTCGAAGACCGCGCCCATGTCCGTGCTATCCGCGACGGACTGTGCAAACGCTGCGAGCGCTGCGGCGCCCAGCTTGGGCGGGCGACGTCCGACGCAGAGAGTGTTCACGGTGTCAGTCGCGCGCTGCGCGGAGGAGCAAAAGGGGAACGGGAAAGCGGACGGGGGAAAAACAAATAGTTGAATTTTCTTCGACGGTAAAAAGAGGTAATCCCCGATACTCGTCTCGCTTCATAGGAACATCAACATAACTTCTCCGAGAATTCCCCAGTTTCTAAGTAGTGTCGAAATGCGACGCTAGCAAAGCTCAAGCGGACACAATCTCGCATACGGGCTTGGCACCATTTTACAGGCCGACACGCGGAAACGTACGTCGCCGACAGATCAAGGAAATACGGAGGAGACTGGTGGGAGACACCCTGCTAGAGTGCAGCACGTTTACACCGTGTCGACTCGAGCGACACTATCAATACTAATAGTAGCACTACTAGCAGTACTATCACTAGTACTACGATTATCGCTGCTACGATTGTTACTACCAACGGGTAAGTGGAACGGGGTATTTCGAAGCCAACTCGAGAACGAGCATACCATGACCACGACCGTGCTGGTTGCGACAACTTCCGTCGCAAAGAGCTGCACCGCGAGCACCAATGCGACGCAGAGCGTGCGACGAAGCGGCGAGAACGAGAGAGCCATTGCAGGGGGGCTCCGATGCAAGATATTGCGGGGCCCAGGCGGTTCGTGGTTCGTGGTGATGCTGTTGATCGAGCTACTGGAGGTGGTGGTGGTACCGCTTGAGTTTTTAGGGTTCGTAACTTGGGCGATGGTGAGAAGGATTTCCGACTCCGCTCGAGATGACTGCTGAGGTAGTTGCTGCTGCAATGTGGCCTCGCTCAAAGCACGACTTCTGCTCGAAGAGGTGGAGGTGGATCTGCGTCTCATGAGATGGCTGCTGGGGGTGGGGGGTTGTTTTCCTTTCGATTAGGAAATGTGGGTGTTTGTCTTGCCTGTGGAGGAATTTGGCCAGAAATGGAGAACATCTCAGGGAGAGAAGCAAACATGGAATTTGGCTGTCGCTAACTTCCAGCAGGAAACCAGAGATTCTGCACACGTAACCCTGAATGGCCAGCGTTTGTGCCCAAACCCTGATCGAGATGTAGGCGAAAGCTTCCCTCTACAATAGTTTGGGGGTACAGGTCAAAACTATGATGATTGGGGGATATCATCGGTTGAAGATACATGCAACGTGGCGAGGCTGGATAAGCTACGGTTAGGGACAGTTCCGGTATGCTCGATCGATGTGATCCGTGAAACCCGCTCCCGCTTGACCAGGAAGGTGTTGGGTTCTTTGTACGAGTGAGGGCAGCACTGAAGGAATGCAAATCGCAGGATGTAATCAAGACGAAGCGCAGGTGTTTCGCGGGATATCTAATGTTTGTGGTCATATCGAACAGCGCTAGAAGCCAACCCCTTCAAACGGGTACAAAAAACATGATTACAATATATGCTTGTTTCACCATAAAAACGCTCGTGTCATGTAGAATTTATCATCACCCATCACTCACATCCATTTTCTGTTATTGACGTCCTAGTTCATCATCAATGTTAATATAAGGTCTTATACTTAACATTCCGGTGTGTAACACGGAAATAAGCACTGCCGAATACAGAGACCAAAAGTCAGAATAAGCCAAAAAGTAAAAAATATATATAAATTTCCCAAAATTTGACATTTTTTTATATTTCCACTGATATCTGTCGAGAAATATTGGTGTTACCACACTGAAAAGTGGTTTTATGAGATATTGTAACTATGGCTATTTCGGGATAACGAGGACAGTGACTCCACTAGTACTCATAACTAAACCTGGGTCAACCCAATAAAGGCACGAGTCATCTCTCCGCCAACAACCGCTTCGTTACCACAGAGATGAGCCAACCCATCTGTGTCCATTCCCAGCTCCTTTCTTCCCTCCGTTTTTCCAATTTTTGTTGCCAGAATGTCAGATCTAACCCAAGCCAGGCGCAGCAAGTGACCCTTCCAATTCTCCTTTCTGTGCCTCATTGGGGCACAACACCGCGCAAGATTCGGGAGTCTCTTGCAGGCATATTCTGTAACGACGTACTCCAACTAGTAGCTCTATTCTAAAATAACTCAGCCTAGTTTTATTCGCATAAAACGATTATTGTGTGAACTCCCTCTTCGTTTCGGGAAAAGTCCGCCTCAACAGTCTTGACATCTAGTGGAATACCAGAGAAAAGCGTTATATTTGTCGATTCCCCCATAAGGTTATGGCATCCCTTGGCCAGGTCGTTTCAGTCAAGTACGACTTGTTTCTCGAGTCATCTAGCGGCGCGTCGCACCCAGGTGACCGTCTGGGGAAGGTAGATCGGGTGGAGGTGTATCTGGAGTCGGACCCTGAGGACGTCGCTATCTCCCTGCGCGACACCATTCACCAGCGCCGCCGCGCGCGCGACCTGGCGCACTGCTCCGCGGCAAATTTGCGCATCTACCCGGAGAGCTCCCCCGACACAGAGTTGGCGGACGAGGACGTATGGCGCTTCTTGCGCGACGGTGCGCCGGAGAAGCTGTTCATTGTTGCGCCCCCCCTGTGCCTCGTGTCCCCCGCCGGCGGACGGGTGAGTGGGAGATGGAGACTGAAATTTGCGCAATAGCTTCAAAACGATTATTCAAGAAAGGCAATCACGTGCTTTCGAATTTTGAACGGGTAACTGGTTTTCAAGCAAATGGCGATCTTTGGCAATCACAGGCGAAACCGGGGTTCGAAGAATTCGCCCTGACATTTTCACCTCTTTATCCACTCTTTTCTGGTTTCTCCTACACATTGAACCGCACAAACCATCCCCTCCCACCATTACCACCACTATTACCACCAGTCATCGGGGCAGCAGGGCATACGGCTGTCGTCGGCTTCTCAACGGAGTATGGACGGAGTGAGCAGCCAGCCGGTCAGCCGAAGAGACTCTCTAGCTAGCAAGAGGGACTCAGATGCGGTGAGTACGGCAGCTTCGAGTGAGAGATAGTGGCCTCCGCGATATCTTCAAGGCGAATTTTTGAAGTCATGGCGATTAGGAGTCGCCATGAATGCTCCCATGGTTATTAGTGTGCCATGGTCTGTAACCATTTAAGTTTGCTGTTGCAAATCATTTTTGTCGCCAGTGCATGTGTTTTGTACGTCTGGCCAGCCATCCTCCCCTATCTTACTTCGTGATTCGTTTGGCCATGGGTTTTTGCCTTCATTGTTCCAGATGGTAGTGTTTGTGAAGACAGGCGGTCAGACTATCCCAATTGAAGTGGATGCAAATGCCACGGTTGATGATGTGAAGGCCCGTGTGCAAGAGCAAGAGCACATCCCTGTCGAGCAGCAGAGGCTATTCCTTGCTGGCAACGAGATGGCCAGTGGACGTTTGCTCGCACATTACAATGTTCACCCAGGCTCAGAAATTCAGGTTGTGCTTACTCTCTCGTCGTCGTCCTAGAGTCGATATATTGTTTGCATGCAATTATTGTTAATGTGCACCTTTTAAGCAACACAGCAAAATGGTTTTAAAAGGTAAGTAAGGAGACTGATATGAACCTCTCAATTGTGGTTCGGTGCATCTGAGCATGAAGTAGCTTGTAGCGATGACGACTATGTGTGCGTATTTCTTCGTACCTTTCCCGCCGAAGATGGAGCACGAAAACACCACCACAACTTCCAGCAATCAAATGTTGTCTTGTGCCTTTCCTTCCCCAGACAATGTCGTGACCGTGTCACACCCGGTGTCAGTCAAGGAACAATTTCCATCTCAAATTGTTCACGCGAAACTTGCGTTGCGACATTCTTGCCCTACCCGACATTCTTACTCGCGACTCGAGAATCGGGGATGTCATGTCATGTCATGCGAACCATACATGAATGGGTGGCATATTCTTCGCGGCAACACCTCAGCAAACCAAACTCTCCTGCATCACCTCCGTGCGAACTTTTCTCTCAGCCCATCACCTCGGTCCTGCGACGTGGATGCCCTCCTCTCACCATCGCCCCGACTTCTGTTCCTCCAAAGCCACACCACAAGCGCAAAGCGAGCGGGTAACAATCGTAAACAGTAGTGCTTCTTCCTAGAATTGTTCCGCTCGCCGTCAGCCCACGACAACTAAAGCTGGTTGCCCCCACAAGACCCAATTTCTACCCTTCTCAACCCTCCCTCGCCGACTCTTCCACCGTACATTTTTTCCCCACTACCATTGTCCTCTCTCCCCTGCATTTCCGCCACTCGACATGTCTCCCCTTCCCCACCTTCCTCCATACTTTCGCCGACCACCGAAATCCCCTCCGTCCCCCTTCCTTCGACAGCGCGCACCACCACAGCACCCGCCTTTCACAGCAACCGACCAGCCACCAAACATATGTTCCCTTTCGTATAATGTCGCATCATTTCGCGGCTCGTGCTCGGTGTAGCTTCCTCATGGCGCTCTTGTTTTTTCCTCTCCTGCCGCCTGCAACCTATTCGACCATTAGAACAGTCCCAGTTACATTTCAAGCCTCGGACGGAACCCTGACCCTGCCACGACAGAGACGGTGCTGCACTTACCTTCATAAAACGCGTCTGCCCACAATATCAATCAGCTCAGACCCACGCATCACACGGCTTGAATTGGAATCCGCCATTCTCGCCGGCCTCTCAACGTCATAATCACATCTTCTCTGCGCGCTGCGAAAACACAACAGCGCGATCCTTCAGCCGAGACCGGCTCCAGTGCACAGCTCGCACTAATTAGTCCGCTACTTTCTCGGTCACACTCAAGACTATGTCGAGACGGTGCGCTAAGTGACGTTTGAGTAGATTCTAGAGAGGGTACTGACCGAGACGGTGTGTGGTAGGACGAACAGACCCAGCAGCGTATCACAAGCCAGAGAAATACACAATCCACGCGGTCGCTACCACGCTCACACTGCTCAACACGCAATCCCGTCATAATCACATCGTTTGGTGACTGAAGGCGAGAGGCCTTCTCCCTCGTCTCACAACACCCTATGTAGCCTAGCTCCTTGACCCTTAACCTCCTCCCTCTGTTCCTACAGTGCCCGCTCGCGATTGCATCGCCGTGCAATTGCATACAAAACCACCTCCGCGCATCTCCATCTAGCAGCGCCGCCATCATGGCGTCTGCTCCCCGTCGTCTCTTCTTCGTCGTACCACTTCTCTCGCTGCTCCTCTCCGCGTCTAATCTACCCGGCTCCGCTTCTCATGACGGCGCGTCCCGCGGCGAAATTGGCGGGCGGGAGTTGCTAGAGCAACGGAACTTCGCCACGTGGTTCGACGCGGACGAAGCGGCGCTCTCCGCGCCGCTGTTCAGCGGTGCGGGGCAGCGGTTCGCGGACAAGCTTTCGTGGCAGCACGAGCAGACCCAGCAGCGTATTCGAAAGCAGCGACAAGCCTACAAGAAAACACCCAAGCATCCCACTCCGTCTGGCACCGGCGCAACTACCCCTGCGGCGGCGGGTGGTTCCCCAGATTGCCCGTACACGTCAGCTGGCGCTGGTCCAGCCAACCTGCACAAGTGCGCCATGGGTTACGCTGCTACCAGTGGTGTAACAGGTGGTTTCGGGAAGACTTGCGGCGGGAGGTATCCGACGGGTTACGTGGTTACCACTGCGGAGGATGTCAGCATTGGCTGGACTGAAGGGTCGTTGCGTTGGGCGATGAAATACTGTACGGGCGGGGTGTATATCACCTTCTCGAAACCTATGACGATCACGCTGGTTCAGGCGCTTTACGTTAACGGGGATACCACAATCGACGGTCGCGGCCACCAGATCGTCATCACGGGCGGGCCGCTTATGGCCTATTGGGTCTCGAATGTGATTTTTCATAATCTTGAAGGTGCGTCCATGGGCGGATGGATGGGTGGGTGTGTGGGGAAACAGTGGACGACGGGCTCCTCTCCTCTCTCCTCAAACAGTGCCCTTGTCTCCTTTCTACTGCCGGGCTCCTTTACAACCAATGAGCGCTGCCCTTTTCCCAGCAGTCATACCACTCTCTGCCCTGCATTCCACCCCTCCCTCACTCCCGTTTCCTTCTTCCCTCTCTTCCCCTCGCCTCTCCTCTCCTTCCTTCTCCTCGCCTCTCCTCTCCTTCCTTCTCCTCGCCTCTCCTCTCCTCCCTTCTCCCGGCCTCTCCCCTCCTCTCAATTTGACGCCACACCTCCCTGCACTTCCCCTCCCGTCCCCTCTCCCAGTGGGCGACATACCAGGCGACACGGACATTCTGCACATCCGAAACACCACGCGCGTGTGGGTGGATCATCTCAAGGTGTACAACGCTGCGCGCGGCACCATCAGCGTTGTCTACGGCGCCACAGACGTGACCGTATCCAACACCTACTTCCACAACGAGAATTTCGTCCAGCTGCTCGGGGCGGCCGACGATGCTTACTATGACCGGAACCTTCGCGTGACGGTGTACCGGAACTGGTACGATCGCGCGGGGCAGCGGCAGCCGCACTGCCGGTGGGGCTCATGCCACGTGGCCAATTCACTGTACACATCGTGGGGTTATTACTGCTTGGGTGCGCGGGTGTATGGGCGGATCCGGTCCGAGAGGAATTATTTCATAGGGGGGACGAGAAAGGAGGTGACGCCGTGGTTTGGTGGGGCCCTCAGCACCCCGACGTTTGACAATACCGGCACGATAAGATCATATGGGAATCGGCTGGAGAATGGGTCGACACTTCACGAGTTTGTTGGAACCGTGCCTGCTTTCAATCCCCCATATAAGCTGGCGCTCATGGAGCCTACAGACAGCATGAAGGACTTCATCATGCAGAATGCAGGGCCGCACTTCCCAGATAGTGAGGCTTTGCCTGTGGGAGGTGGTTGAGTGGGAGGGGCATGGGACCACTGCGCCTGCCCCTTGTTTTGTCAACACTTGCATACTAGGCCTGTTTATACTCATGCTCAGATGAGCTGCATAATGTGTTGAAATCAGTCTTAGATAGCCTACATTTATAATCCTCTTTCTGTGATCATGGAACATGATTGTGCATGAAGTAGAAGCTAAAAAGGACTTGAGCATAAAGTACGGTAGTACAAGGGTTGTCAATGCAGAGTGCCTGCTTATTTCCGAAACTAGCACCCTCATGATCTCTCCAAACCATCAGCATACCATATGTACAGACAAGCAGTGCCCCCATGGCATCAGGGACCCCGTCATCAGCATTTTCAGAGCGGAGCACACACAATAAAGCTACCACAACAACCACTGTCCCACGTACCGGTAACACCGGCATGCGAACGGCACCAGCATGTGGCATAGTGAGAATAGTTGTGTCCTACAGAGCCCCCCGCACAGGCCTAAATCGCGATGGGTTTGGCGCCCGCTTTCCGTCTAGTCTCCCCCAAAAAACCTGCTTGCTTTGAGGCCAGCAACTGGTGATGATGCCAGGAGGGGGAGCAGTCACTGCTGCTCTTCCTCAGCATCCTCCTTTTCCAGCTCCGCCTCCTCCATTCCCTTAATTTCCTCCCTTTCACCCTTCACCACCCCGTCCCTTTCCTGCCTGTGCTGCTGCTGCTGCCCCACCTGCGGATGTTGAGGATGCCTGACCTTCACAATAAGTCCCCTGCGCCGCACGTACGTGATTCCAGCCCATGTAATAGCGGGTTCTAACAGCGTGTACACCGACACAATAGGGACAACTGCGAGATCGACCAGCATGCCCGCCACGCCCAGCATCAGGCTGAGGCTGCCCAGACGAATAGAGGGTTTCTCGGGTGAGAGGAGGTTGCAGAGAGAGAAGGTGGTGTGGAACAGGCGGATCACTGCGAACGTCGCAAGGGAGAGCAGTGAGAGGTACAGCAGCGCGAGAAAGAGGCTTGCATTGGCGAGGATGAGCGCCATGGCAGCGCTGCTGTTGAAACTGGAAACACCGGAGAGAGACTGGAGAGAATGAGAGAACTGATGAGACTGGAGGGCTGGAAGGGTAGGGATCCCAGTCAGGACCGGTACTCGGAAGGTTCCATGCAGGTTCACCACCAGCGACAGACGAGAGGAAGCGGGCCACGCGGAGAGCCGACGGCAGCAGCGGCGCGAGCACGCAGAACGAGCCCAGCGCGCACGCGTTTAGCACGAGCGCGACGGGCGAGCAGAAGGTGGTGAGCGCGAACGTCTGCCGGCGCACGTAGTTCCAGTGCCGCTGGAACGTCCACGACCCGGACAGTCTCCCCGGGAAAATCGCCGCCGCGGGGCAAACAACGTCGCGGCCGTTACTCGCGGCGATGGCGGAAAGAGTGAGGTCGTGAGGCCGTCAACATGCCGTATCTGTCGGCGCGGAGGTCGTCGAGGCGAATCATCATGCAGCCGCCCCACTCGGGCAGCTGCTTCCCGCCCGACGCCATGGCGAGCTGCACGGGCACGCGATACGCCATGGCCGCGTATGCCGCTAGGTTGCGCCTGGTTCGCGGGTCCGGACCCGGGAAGTCGAAGGAATCGCCCGTGCAGACGAGCGCGTTGGGATTTTCCTCCATGGCTGTTACGAGCAGGGTGAGCGTGTCCAGGTGGGTTTGAATGTCGTCGTCTAGAAAGAGGAGGTATTTCGAGTCCGCTCCCGCGCGCATCGCGACCGCGAGCTGGTTGTGGATCTGCTGCGAGCAGCGCGTCGCGAGGCCCGCCACGACGAGGCGTATCTACGCAAGTCCGCGCATTTCGCGCTGGAGGGCCTAAACCGCGCGGCACGCGGGGTTGTGGGCGGTTTCCACTCAGAAGATGAACTCCGTCGCGCCGCCGTACAGAGTCTGGACGTGCGAGCGCCAGTTGCTCATCCCCGCGTCACCCGCGCAGCCTTTTACGGCGAGAACGACCGTCACTTTGGGAAGCTCGTGCTGTTGCTGCGCGTGGTCTTGCATGTGATGCTGCGGCTGCTGCGCGTGATGCGCGTCCTGCGAGAGATTACCAGGGTGAGAACTACCACTGGCAACCTCGAGGGCAGCGATGTTCGCCACGTCACGTATTGCTATCGTGCGTCTTTCCCTGATTATCCTGCGCGCCTCGTTGAGGCGAAGCTGAGAAGCCTTGAACCACAGGACAGCGAGGAGCAGAAGCAAGCCCTTGCCCTGTAACTGCACCCAAAAAACCGCATTGCTGACGAACAGAACGAGCGCGTTGAGCGCATCGAGGGTATTTAAACCGTGGAACGATGTCATACTACTACTCGTTGGAAAAGGCGCGAGAAGCGGCGCGGAACACGGGGAGCAGCGGCAGGAGGCTCCTACCCAGAAGGCGGAAGTCGTCCAGGACGTGTGTGCTTGGAAACACGCGCTCACGGTGAGGATAAAGCCACCCCTTGAAGTCCATTGCCTTGGGAAAAAATGCAGGAGTGACCTTTCGTGGTGAGGTGATAGACTTTTGGGCGATGTTCGGCTGCCACAGGGGATGGGGGGAGGGGATGGGATGGAGCATCAGAACGCCGAGCCTCCTGGTTCGATCTGTTCGAACCAGGCAGAACACTTCGGTCAGACATGAAAATTGTGAAAAAAGTGTCGGACGTGAGCCTAAAACGCGACGCGAGCCCCGCGCTAGGCTTGAACCCGCGCCGCGTCCTCCCCCCAATTCCCCCCCATGGCGGAAAAACTCCGCCCTAGTGTTCAGGGCATGGAAACTGCATTCCCGTGGGTGATCTCAGCCCACGGGGAATGAAAAATCCATGCCCCCTTCCACAATTTTCGTGTCTACATCTACTCCACACTCTAAAAAACAAATAACCCGGACATTGAAAGTATAATGCTGTACACAAAGATCTGAAATGAACTCTCCAAAATTAACTAAGGTCGAATCGTCCTTTACACCCTTGAATTAATTTATGGTGTACAGAATTCATTAGAGTAAGCTACCCAAACAAATCGCAACAGTAAATTCGGGAAAACTGTTCAGCTCGCGATGTTTCGTTTCGCGGGGCTGCAGTTTCGTGGGCACCCATTTCCCGAGTCGCTCCTCCGCGCCTTTTCCCCCAAACTTTCCGCTTCCGCCTGGACTCCAGACTTGGAGTCAACGACGGTTGACTCCGAGCTGACCACCCCGAACTAGAAACCCTAGCTGCGAATCTGATCCCTCCCCACATCCCTCGGTCGATCCCCTGTGGCAGCCGAACTTCGCCTTGACAGAACGAAAGTTACGAATAGAAGAAACCAATTCAATGGTTTGCGGCGGTTATGGACTGAAGCATTGGTGATGTTGGTCAGTGGAGATGCGGGTTGTGTGGCTGCACAGCGGTGAAAGAAAACAAAAGATGTGGGGCGATCTTGCGCACAAAGCTGCGGAGTGCGAGCTGCGATGCTACATCCCTCATTTGGTGGACTGTGGGCGACTCGAGGTTTCCTCGATATGGTAGTGGTCGGATGATATTTTCTGTGCTTTGCCTGCAACGGTTTTGGTATATCGCCCCCTTATACTCTGAGATTGAACACATGATATAAATGTTTTTTTAGTTGATTGCACAGGGGCTCTGGTTTGATGTGCTATGTTAATAATGCGATCATGTTTTCAACATTTCGCAGAGCCAACCTTTTTCAAGCATTCCAAGGCTTAGCTCACTACTTAGCTGATGATCCTAATTATATATGTGGTATGGAGTTCATCTACCGCACTAATGTTGGTGGTGAACGAAGCTGTATGAAACTCTGGACTTGCTGCTCCAACTAGTAACGTGCGGTCCACCAATAATGCTACTGCTAGCAAAAGCGGTTCCATGTTCGTCAGGCTGATAGCCATGCGCCTGGATAGCGTACCACCCAGGTACCTAACTCATTCAGATACCCTTCGGATTCCAGTCTTCAAATTCTAGCATGTTTTTTTCAGACTGCCGTTTGTGCAAGTCGTGTTCAGAGGGTGATATTTTGCAGAGAGTGATTTTCAGGGGGATTCATTTGTAAGCACGAACAGATTTTTTCAGGGCAACAAGGGCAATAAATAGCTCCCGAAAGTAAGAAGTCTACAGGAAGTGGACTTCGAGATGCTCACAGGCGTGATGCGTGTCAACGACCATAGGGGATGACGAGGCGAACGACGGTGGGATTCGTAACTGGGATGAAATGCGACTCCCTCCCAGTCACGGGGTGAGAAGAGGACCACCAGGGCCCACGACAGCCGATAGCGACGTGCCTCACAACAACGCCGCGAGGGCGAGGAAGGCGAAGCTTAAGGTTGGAAGCAGCTGCCGGAGAGCCAGCAAACCTGGGAGAACGCCAGCAAGGGATGCGGACCGAGTTAGATCGGGCGGGGAGATGAAAATGTGGGTCTAAAAGCACAAGCGAAACGGGATGGAAGCAGGAAAACACTTGCAAACACAGGGCATATACACAGGGTAAGATCCCTGGGACATAGAGGAACATCCGTACCAGGAGCAGAATTGGAAGGCGGAGGCGGGGTTGTGGGAGCAGGCGGGGGGGTAGGGAGCGGCTGGACTGGGACAGTGGGGCTGGGCGGGGGTGGCGGTGAGGAAGTGACAGGAGGGCCTGGGAGAGGCTCGGAGCCTGGTGCCCCGGCGAGCATGGACCGCCGGATGTCCGAGCCGTACAAGCCCTGATCGCCGTAAGATTCGTTTCCTTCGGCAAGGATCGAGTTCAGGTCGGTCTGCAAGAAGGTTTCGTCGAGAACCGGCGGCAAAAGCAGCGAGTTGATGGAATGAACCACGATCGTGCCCGCAAAAACCTCCGCGCCCTGCCCGTCAGCCATGCCCGTGGACATGGTGACGGCCTTGTACTGCTTCACTGTCGAATCGCCAACTTGAAACGCGAGAGCGTCCACGTGGAGTTGAATCGGCGCGCCCTGCAGCGTAATGAACGAACCTTCCCACGCGAAGGCTGAAACGGGCTTCTCGATGACGTGGTACATCAGCACGTCGCGAAGCATCGCGTCGTTGCGCTGCAGTTTAAGGAAGGCGAGGAAAGCGGGGTTTGTGCGCATGAGCGCCTCGTTGGTCGGCGCGAAGAGAGTAACGGCGGATCCATTTCGCGCGCGGAGCTCCAGCTCCGACAAGAGGCCGCCCTGCTTAAGAAGGCTCACGAATCCCGTGAGCCCCGCGAAGGTGAGCTCCTCTTCCAGCGTCGCGTCGACGGTGAAATCCGCGAACGTGCTAGCGGGCCATGATGTCACCATGAGGAGCAGGGCAAGCGGGAACACGACCATAGCTGAGTTACTAGTCCTCATGGTGAGCGCATAAAGGTCTGCCGAGGCTGCTTTGTGGAACAGCTCTGTTGCTATGAAGATAGCAGAAAGCAGCACCAAGAAATCCTGAGGGGAATAGGCTCTATTTATGCTAACTGGGCAAACTCAGGAGCAGGGCAAAAATGGGATATGTAGATTGAGAGGCGGTGAGCTGAAGAAATTGGAATCCAGTTGCTGAGCCAGTCGGGGAACGAGGAAGAATCGACGAAGGCAGGGAGAATGCTGTTCCAGCGCGGTGAGGCGGTTGTGGGCGGGCTACCCCACGATACACGGAGGCGCGAAGCGGGGAAGTCGTTCGTTGGGGAAGGAGGGCAGCGGGGGAGTCGTTCGTTTCTGGGGGATCTTTGGGGGAGAGGGGGAGTGTGAGGCGAAAGCTTGGTTCGGCTCGGGGGAGCTTTGCCCCTGTCCTCGTGGTGATGCCAACCAGACCTGGGGGCGCTTGTCCCCACCAAAGCTACAGTTTGGCTGGGTCCTCCGAACCCAGGGTTCGATTGCCGGGGAAAGTTGTATGGGTCTGGGATTTGGAAAGTTGCGGTGGTAAAACACCAATGGAATCGTGCCTCGTAAGCACGCGACTCGGCTTAGTGATGGCCGACGTGGCCTTAGCGGCAGCTTCGAGATGGCGTGTGCATGGTGGTGAATGTTGGCGGTTGATGAGAACCAATCAGCTTTCGGGTTCGTTCGGCCAGCAAGCACAGAGCCATGGATTTCTCCTGCTCCATACAAACGGGAGATCCGAACCATATACAGTATATGTACTCCTTTGGACGAGCTACATACTGAAGTCTTTTGCGGCGCAGCAAGCACACTCAAACGAGGTGAGAGGAGGTGGTGGTGCTGCGCTGCACACGCATTACAATAACACACCACAAGCCAGCAATGGCCATCATCATCGACGCGACGCGTCTGGAGGGAGCAGAGAGTGGAGGAGCACTTCGCGAAATACACTTCACCAGCTAGAAATTCGAAACAGCTGTATCTTTCCACATACTTCTTGTTCAAAGCTCAATGAGTTTTCTCGCTATCCCTTACTCCGACTATCAACATCACGTACAGCAGCAGCCGTTGCTCGCCCGTTACTGTTATCGGGCTTCACCAACTTCGCGCATGTGAGAATAAGCGAACAGGAATGAATGAACTAGAAGTGAAATGAGTACAAGTAGTAAACCCTACAATTGTGTACCCCCTATAGGCTAACCCACTGTAGCCTACACAAGCATAACATGTATAATGTTTGACACACCCCCATAGGCAAAGTGGGGGAGAACAAGGGGTCACAAGACCAGTCAAGCAAAGCAAAGCAAGCTCAGGGTGGATCACAAAGTCACCACACAGTCCGAGCACAAGAGCAGGGCCAGAGGCCAGTTCACATGCAGGAGTACAGACATATATATAAAACTAGACAAGCAAGAGCAGGTATATATATATGTCACAGTACAAGTAAAGTCAAGAGGAGAGCAAGTGAGGCAAGACAGGCACAAGACCCAGCTGGGTGCAAAAGCGCTGATGGTCACAAGGCGCGAGTGCCTTGGTGAACACATCAGCAGTGTTGGCCTCAGAGGCCACGTACGCAAGCCGCAACTGTCCACGCTGCTGTAGCTCACGAGCAAGGAAGTAGCGGAGAGCAATGTGCTTCGTTCTGTGCTCCAAGCGCTGCTCTCGACACAAGGCCAGCATGGCCTTGTTGTCTACGTACAGCACTGGAGGAGAACGAGGCGGCTCTCCAAGGTCAGTCAGCAGGTAGGTGAGCCAGCGAAGCTCCTGTGCAGCCATGGCCCCGGCGTAGATCTCAGCCTCACAACTGGAGCCGAGAACTGAAGACGAGCGAGTAGACCGCCACGAGACAGAGCCGGAACCAAGGCTGAAGGTGTAACCCTGTGACGACCGCTGCGTAGCCTGGTCGTCAGCCCAAGAAGCGTCCGCGTGGCCTGTAAGGACCACTGGACTCCGCCCTCCAAGCACTAGCCCCATGCCCGACGTACTGCACAGGTAGCGCAATACCCTCTTCGCTGCAGCCATGTGCTATGGTCGGTGTCTCCCAGGAGCAACATAGCGTGCAAGGATGCTCAGAGGGTATGCAAGGTCAGGTCGAGTGCAGGTCATCAGGTACATGAGGCAGCCAACAAGCTCTGCATACGGACCACTCGACTCTACGGACTCATCCGAAGGCAGAGCTAAGAGTGAGTGGCGAGTAGGCAGAGGAGTGGCCTGAGGCGAGGAGTACGTGAAGCCGAAGCGCTGAAGGACCTGCTGCACCATGTGTGACTGAGTCAAGGTAATGGTGCGGCGTGCTCTGTCCCGAGTGATCTGCAAGCCAAGGTAGCTGCGCAGTTCACCCAGGTCTGTGCACGTGTGTCTCTTCAGCAGTTCGGACTTCACGTAGGCGAGTCCAGCAGTGTCCGCTGTGGCAAAGACCAAGTCGTCGACGTACACGAGGATGTAGAACGGCGGCAGTGAAGTGTCGGTGCGCAGAAACAGCGACGGGTCAGCAGTAGAAGGAGCAAACCCAAGAGCCGCAAGTGTAGTCCTCAGTGTGTCGTGCCACTCACGCGGTGCCTGGCGGAGACCGTAGACTGGCCGTCGGAGGCTCCACTGGGTGCCAGGAGGGAAAGTCCCAGTGAAGCCAGGTGGACGGCACAGCCAGATCTCCTCGTGCAGGCTACCCTGCAGGAACGCAGTGCTGAAGTCGAGAGAGTGAAGCTCGTAGTCGCGCTGAGCGGCTATGTGCAGCAGCACCCGAAGAGTGGTCATCTTCGGGGTGGGAGAGAAGGTCTGAAAGTAGTCAACTCCCTGCCGCTGACTGAAGCCACGAGCAACGTACCGCGCCTTGAAGACAGGTGGAGAGCCTGGCGGCCGCTTCACCCTGAAGATCCACATGCCACTGACGATGTTCGCCCCAGGAGGGGTAACCGCGTCAACGTAGGTGCCTGTGGACTTCCAGGAAGCCATCTCTGCATCCATAGCTGCCTGCCACTGAGAGGAGTAGGGACCCTCTACGGCCTCCGCGTAAGAACGCGGAGTCGGGATGTCTAGTGCATCCGGGTCTCCCTCAGGGGCAAGCAGTACAGACGCGAGATGAGGTGAAGCAGCCGCTAGACACTGTAACTCCTCCTGCCTGTCCTCTAGGACGTCCGTGCCAAGAGCACACTCACCCCCGACGGACGGAGGACAGACAGACGCAGACTCAGCAACAAGACTAGCAGCGTAGTCGAGACGACAGCGAGCAGCAAAGTCAACGAGCTCAGCGACTAGAGCAGACGCAGCAGTGGACTCAAAAGAGGGGTCAGTGACGACAGTAGCAAGCAGACGCGTGACAGTAGGACTGGCAGCGCGAAGAGAGTCCGACTCAGGGTCGGCAAGCGCAGGAAGAGGGGACTCAGGAGGAGAAGGCAAAGGGGCACGCAGAGGAGCAGTGGACGGACGCAGAGACATCCAGTGCGTGCCAGGGACAGGAGGAGGACGCTGACGCGAACCGCGACCACTAGCGCGAGCAGCACGAACCGGCGACGCGGGACGAGACGCAGGCTCACGACGCTCAGTAAGACCTCCAGTAGGACTAGTGTAAGGAGAGGGAGCAGGCAGAGGAGAGGAAGGCTCCAACAGTGACTGCGACTGGACAGGCTGTGGACACTCTACCGAAGGAGAAAGACCAAGAACCTGCTGTAGGAGCGGAACGAAGTACGGCCGAGGCCGCGCGGCAGCTCCAGACTCAGCAGGGACAGCACCAGCACCCTCAGCGACAGCACCAGCGCCACCAACACCTCCAGCGGCAGGACCTCCAGCAGCACCAGCAGCAGAACCACCGCCAGCACAGACAGCAGTAGTCTCAGCACCAACACCCTCAGCAGCTCCAGCTCCAGTAGGACCCGCAGGCCCAGCAGCTCCGGGACCGGCAGCACCAGCACCCTCGACGGTCGACGAAGCTCCAGCTCCAGCAGCACTCCTCCAGCGGCGAGCAAACCACTCGCGCAGCTCCTGTGGAGCGAGGGGCTCCCGGCGAGACGCAACAGCAGGAGAAACCCCAGGCTCAGCAGCTCCAGACTCAGCACCCCCAGGCTCAGCAGCTCCAGACTCAGCACCTCCAGGCTCAGCAGCTCCAGACTCAGCACCCCCAGACTCAGTAGCTCCAGCTCCAGTAGGACCCGCAGGCCCAGCAGCTCCGGGACCGGCAGCACCCTCAGCAGGCAAAGAAGCTCCAGCTCCAGCAGCACGCCTCCAGCGGCGAGCAAACCACTCGCGCAGCTCCTGTGGAGAGAGCGGCTCCCGCCGAGACGGAAGAACCGGAGAGCCCCCAGGTCCAGTAGGCGCAGGCTCCGCACCTCCAGGCCCAGCACCCCCAGGCTCAGCAGCTCCTGACGTAGCACCCTCCGGCTCAGCACCCCCCGGCTCAGCACCCCCAGACTCAGCACCCCCCGGCCTCGCACCCCCAGGCTCAGCACCCCCAGGCTCAGCACCCCCAGCAGCAGCACCCCCAGGCTCAGCACCCGCAGCAGGACCAGACTCAGCAGCAACCTCGACTGGCTCGACCGTGTCTACCTGGGACACACCTGAAGGGGCAGGAACCTGAGGGGGGAGGGGGTCTACCGGGGGGGGAACTGGTACCAGGAAGTCCGGTGGGGGGGGGAGGGAAGGAGTACGGTAGGGGAAGAGGCGGTAGAAGGGGACTGACTCGTCGAACGTGACGTCCTGGGAGGACAGAACACGACGAGAGGAGGGGTGGTAGAACTGCCACCCTGGAGCGTCAGGGGGAAAGCCAAGGAAGACACAGGGAGCAGCACGGGGGGACAGCTTGTCCGCAGACAAGTCGCGGACAAAAGCCCGAGATCCCCAGACACGGAACGCAGACGCATCGCCGACCTTCCCCGTCCACAGTAACACTGGGGACATCGCGGGCCGAGAGACCCTGGGGTGAAGGTTGAGCTGATGCGCCG